TTGACCTTAACGATGCCATCCAAGGTCAAACCAATGACACCATCTTATGTTCCCCTCAAAACCATACAATTTTTGTTCAAAACGTTTTTCTCTAAAATGCTTAGTTTTTGAAAAAAAGGGGTGTACGGGTGGTCTAGGACACCCTCTAGGACAACTTCGTCGCGCGCCTAGCGACCACAAACTTTTGGGTTGTCTCTGGGCCGTTCTTTGTCGCCGCGCACTTATACTCACGTGAATTGGTTAATGTTTTTTAATTAATTTCTCAATAATTATTACGAAAATCGCAAAATGGTACAGGACCTTTCTGATCAGTTTACTGTGCTTTACCCGCTCAGGAGCGTTGGCACAATCTTTACCGGACACCCTGTATATATACAGGGTGGTCCTCGTAACGGTCGCCACAATTTTTAAGGCACTTACAATAATCTGACATAAAAAAGTCATAAACAGAAATTTATCAGTTTCTAACCGGCAACAAATTGCAAGAATAAAAATTGACCAAACATTTTTTTACTTACCTTTTCTCATGGCGAAATCTAAGATGTCTTTGAGTTCCATCCAATCCACTTCCAAGTCATCGCCAGCAAGTTTCTTGAAGAATTCCCTAACTTTTTCGGTATTGCGATCTTCTTCGGGTTCGTTGCGAACCTGCAAATAGTATCAAAATAAATCTTTAATATGATAAACATAATCTTTGACAAGTCAAACTCTCCCCGCATTTCTCTCCTAAAATTTATGTTCCAGATACTTTCGTTTTATATATGTTAGTAGTTTTAATTTCAACAAGATATGTAAAATCTATATGTGTGCATATACAGTGTATTAGCATTTTCGTATATAGCAGGTTTAATCGCTTTGAGAGCGATTAATGACGTCATTGCATCGTCTCTGCTAATAAAAAGCTTGAATTCATAGTAAAATATAGTGATTAATTGAACTGGGTTGGATTAACCCGTACATTCGAAAACGCTATATATATATGAGTACACATATACAGAAAAGTAATATACGTAGGTCGATCAAATATGAATGAGACTTTTCGAATAGAAGCAAGATACTTTAATGCTCGTTGTTGTAACAATAGTGGGCTATTGATAGACGTGTCTAGACAAACGTGTAGCTCTAACAATACACGTTTGTTTCTACAATCGTTTGTAGTACAATAGTAAGCACGATGAGTGAACAGAAGGTGCCTGTCTCGGTTGCGCAACGCATAATCATTAAATTTTTAACGCGCGAACATGTTAAACCAGCTGAAATTTTGTGTAAATTACGCGTACAGTTCGGTAAGAACACATTATCGAAGTCCCAAGTAAGCAAATGGCATAAGTTTTTTTGTGAAGATCGTGGAAAAGTTGCAAATTTGACTGATGCGCGTCGATCAAGCACGAACATTACGCCTGAGATCATTCAACAATTTCCTTCTTGAAGACGACCAACGAATAACTGCTCGTGAAAGTAAAGGGACTAGCATAAGTTATGAAAATGTGCAAACGATCATTGAGAATGTGTTACGATTTTGAAAAATCACTGCATGATGGGTGCCTCGAATTTTGAATGCAGATCAAAAGGCCGTAAAGACTGAAATCTCTCAGAAGCTTTTGGATCGCCATGCAATGAAAGGAAACGCATTTTTGATACGTATTGTCATATATGATGGATTTGTTTGACTTCTTTAAAAAGCCTTATGGGGAGAAAGATTTTCCAACGACAATGAGATGGAAGACTTCGTGCGCAATTGGCTTCTTACTCGTCCTGCTACTTTTTATAAAGCAGGGATAAAAAAACTGCCAGTATGGTGGCAAAAATGTGTAAACATTAGTGGATGCTATGTAGACAAATAATTTTATGTTAGTTTTCACGTGTATTAATCGAATAAACATTTTTTGAACAAGTCTCGTTTATATTTGATCCACTCTAGTACATTACAGAAACGAGAAACTGTACATATAAAATTATTAGCATAAGCTTGAGCGCACATAATAATCCAGCGACAGCATATTTACTTTTACTTCTTGCAAATGTATATACAGCATATATCATAGTCTTTTGTGTGTTATTGTGTAACATGTATAGACATGCATTTTACTTACATTATCTTCATTGTGCTCCTCTTTACCGCTCACAGAGTTAATCACCTAAAAGCCAAGCGACATAAACATGCAAATTGTTATGTGTTAATAACAAGTACACAAGACAACTACAAATGAAGACAAAAGTTAGATTACATTGGGGAAGCTGGATATGTAACTCAATTACACAGTGCTGATCAATTTTATGATTTGTGCGGTTTAACACTAACGGTTTAGCAATACTGTAATTGCCAGCTCTTGACAACATATTATGTTTATCAAGCTGTATCAATGCTGTGTGAATTATCAGCGATTATTTTGTAGATTGAAGAAAATGTGTATTTGTTGCTTTCAGTGTAAAATATAATTACAGAATCCTAAACAATATTTGTATAATCTGGAAATCTTTCAATATTTCAAAATGTTTACAAACTTTATCCCCTATCCCATTTTGAAAAATTGATAAACTTTTAAAAACATTTTTTCAAATGTGATAATTTTGAGAGTATCACTAGTATAATTATCAACTTGTTATAATAAATAAAATAATTTGTACTGCTTAGGATTAAGATACTGTTGTATGTATATGTATTGATTCATTAGAATATTCACAATCCTTACCCTATCATCGACTTCTCCGATACCAACTTCTTCATCATTTTCTCTGTAAATGAACAGGAGCATTTTGGAGAAAATTCTTTAACTAGTAGCATGAAACAAATATCGCTATATGACAAGACTTACTCCATATTGTTCTTGTTTTCAGAGAAGATTCTTAGCAAGAATTCACCCTCCTCGTTTGGATCAAAAGTACTTGGAACTATACAGTATACGCCCGGTGGTAATTTGAAACGACACGTGACTTCCCGTAAGTTTATAAATGCCGGTGAACGTCCGACAGATGCATTGTATTTGAAGAAGTTTATGTCTAGCGGTTTTGGCAGCCTTTCTGGATATTCCAGCTAGAACAAAAATTTAAAACATTAAAATTAACAAATTAACTAAAAATTAATTTATTAACATAAATTTTATATTTCTTCCTCGCGCGCGCTCGCACACACACTCACACACGCACACGCACACACACACGCGCGCACGCACACGCGCGCACACACACGCACACGCACACGTGCGCACACACACGCACACGCACACATACAAGTATCAAAGCTATGTATATGTAATAAACTTAAAACAAACAATTTATGTATGTGGTAGTAAAAAATTATACAATTTTGAGGTATCAAAAAAGCAAAACGATACCTCAAACTTTTAGACGATTTGAATTAATCCAGATGTGATTTCATATTTTGATATATTGTATGAGATTCGTCGGGAATATGAAGTGAGCAATCAATTTCACATACATGATATATCGCGAATCCGATAGTGAGGCAATCAGCACCCATTCTTTTTTGCGCTCTCCTGTTTTTCTGCATCAGGGCGACGATTACGGTACACTTGTCATCGTCTTCATCTGGATGTTCTAATGTGATACGATACTGCGGATTGTGGCAGAAAGTCTCTGCGAGATAAACGTGTATATATATATATATATATATTTAATTGAATAATTTTTGAGATGCTTTCCTGCATCCATTATTCGTAAAAAGAATGTACTAATGCAATGCGTAGAGAAGCGGGAAAACATATAATGACAATGCTATTGTAAATTTATACGATAATCATAATATCATAAAAAATGCGCTCCATTCATAGAAGCACTTTTTTCACTTGTCATTTCGACATGCCTGAGCATGCAAAATTTCAGCCCTGTCATTCGTAAAATATAATCGTTTCCCGTTTAAAAACTATTATAGCCTCGACATTTTTGTATTAGGATTTTTGTCTTGAAATGTTCTAAGGAATCTGCTATTAAGAGGAAGTACGGTAGTTTTAGGACACTCTGTATATATATATACACGGTCGAATAATCAAGTTCCGAGACTCGGTTCGCATTTCCAAACGTTTGATCCGTTTGTGCTGCCATTTTAGGGGATTATTCACAACTCAATACTCAACACGTGGTGCAAGTTTTAAATTATTTGGTTCAATAGTTAATGAAATAGAGTCACGCAAAATAGTGTTACAAAATTTTGTTTAAAAATCGATATAATGGAAGGAATGCTTGACAACACGCTAACATTAAATTCTGCGTTAAATTAGAGAAGTCTCCAATAGAAACGTTACAAATGATTCAACAAGCCTACGGAGAGTCAGCTATGCATAAGACGTTTCGAAGATACAGATGACATAAAAAAACCGTGAATCAAACTTTGAAAGGGCTTGCTTCAGAGGACTAGGCTTGCTGAATCATTTGTAACGTTATTGTTGGAGACTTCACTAATTTAACGCAGAATTTAATGTTGGCGCGTTGTCAAGCGTTCCTTCCATTACACCCGATTTTTAAACAAAATTTTATAACACAAATTTGCGTAACTGTATCTCTCTCATTAACTATTGAATCAAATAATTTAAAACTTGCACCACGTGTTGAGTATTGAGTTGTGAATAACCTCCTAAAATGGCAGCACAAACGGATCAAAGGTTCGGAAATGCGAAGCGAGTCTCAAAACTTAATTGTTCGATCGTGTGTATATATACCCAGTCAGCCACGTCTGTTCTAACAGATATTGCCAAGTGCTTGCTACAAATTATTGTCAGCAAAAAGGCTACAAATTTGGTGCAAGAGTTGTTATTACCGATTAAGCTGGCAGATTGCCGGCAAAAACCAAACAATGTAAGTGCCTTAAAAATCGTGGCGACCGTTACGAGGACCACCCTGTATATATATATAATATATTATATATATTTAATTCAATTTTGTTTTCTATGAAATTAGAGACGCTCCTCTATTCGATATATTTGCGTATCTTACCTAAATAATTTCTACAACCACCTGCTGTTACACCGCGCACCCATTCTCCCTCAAATACACTCATCTCCCAACGTTTCTTTCCGGCATCAATATCGTTTGTAGTTAAGGAATCAGGATTTAAATTGCATATCTCAAGTTGAGTAAAATGGCGTGTAAAATCATGGAACGACATCCAAAATTCGCCGTCCATATCGAAAGTCAGACCGAGCTCTTCTTTCTCGTGATCGGGGATGAATCTCCATTCCGGCGATCTGTCAACGGACGATAAAAGCGTAAACTAGGCGAAATTGCCAGCACATGAATAGAATTACTCACTGGTCGCTCCAAGGTCCATTCCATTCCGCTTCGTTTCCCCAAGGATTCCGAAGTCTCAAGAGAGGTATTGTACCGTACTGGTTCGGTGTTTGAATCTCTACATGCTTTACACGAGTAATGCTGTATGCGTGACCGCGTATCAAACCCTGGGGTGTTTCGGCTTCTATTATGTTTGGATCGGGCTAAAAGTGCCATACATTTATATAGTTAGTAAGATAAAATAAAATCTATTTTTTTAAGATAATATATATAAACAACAAAATTGTATATTTATTATGTTGATTATTGGGGCAAAACAATTGAATAATTATATATATATATTATACGCATATGTAAGACGAACAGATATTTCTACTATATGCGTCTATTATTTAATATAAATGCATTATCGATCAAAAATTATTTAATATTATATTTTATTATTTGTTTCCTTGATAGATTTGCTTAAATTATTATAGACAAAATTAAAAGAAAATTAAATGTTTAAATCGCGATTATTAAATCTATTAGTTGATGCTATGTATGTATCGATTTACATGTCTCCCACTTTTCTGTCCATAAAAATAAAATGTTTTAACTTTACAAATATAATTCTAACTCTCTCTGTCGCAAATTATAATTTAAAATAAGCTTTAGTTGCTAAGCATTGCAAACGGTTCAAAGGATCAAACAAAATAATGATTGTTTGAAGAGCCTATGATAAAAATAATACGAAATTGTTAAATCACCTCAATGGAGCAACCCAATAATGAATTTCTCTCAAAGGCCTTCAACAGTATGTTAAACAAATTCGGTGGTGTTTGATCCATTTGATACATTTCCGTAACTCCACCAGTAAAGTCTTCCATGGCTTCGCAGCTTGTACCACCCTTTAACGCCTCGTAAGAGCCGTGAAGTTTCGCATAAGCTTTCTCGAGAAGAGCGCTCCAAAATTCGTTGCTTTCGGCCGAATGTAAATATACCAATTCTCCGCGACAGGTAGGCAATCGATCATCAATCACCACATCGACCCATCTGCCATATTGCCAGAACCTATGATACATATTTTGTATAAATAAATAAACTCTTTCCAGACTGATGATTCGTAAATGGATTAAAATGGACATATTTTTATATAAATATTGCAGATTTTTAGACACATCACAAAACATCCAAACAAAAAATTTAACGACGACATTTTCTATTTCAATATGATAAATGAAAACGATCTCAAATTGTACAATTATTCTGATTTAAAGAGACTTAAAAGATGACTAATAAAAATATGTGTGGGAATACTGGCAGATAAGCCAAGGCGCGGATATAGGTGCGCGAACTTATTATTGTAAAATTTTAGTAATAAATGTATATTAAAATGTACGTTTCGGACCGTTTTTAGTCCATCTTCAGCATAGATATAAATATGTAAAGATTACATTGATATTTTAAAACTTGATATACATTGATTATATTGTAAACCACCGACGGATATATGTGTGGCGATGGCATTCAGACGTTGTGCACTAATTTATAATACAGACTTTACGCGGTTTTTAGTGAGCCTTCCTTTCTGATTATTAATTTTAATTTGAAATTTGACTGCAACAACAAATATTGTGCATGTCAAGTTTTAAAATTCCAATTTAATTTTTATATACTGCGTTCACGGAGAGAACGACCTCGCTTTTCGTGCGGTTCGATCAGATCCCGCCCGACCGATCGCCCATTTTGCACCCTCCACGCTGCCAAAATTGGTCTTGTAGCTTGCAGATCCGGCTAGCCGATAGAGGGGATACCCTATTTATTTATAATAGTATTAAATTTTATTAATAATTTTTAGATTGCAAAAAGAGAAAATAAATATAATAGATATATCGCGATTTAATTAAAAAGAGTAATAAAATTCGATTAATAGAGAACAACTCAAGCTTTCAATATTATGACATTTCTTTCGAGCTTTATAGGCGGATCACATACGTGATATACGATCGATACGCATGCGACATACGGCATTGAAGTAGCGCGCTGAAGTCTCTTACCTAATCCCCACTCCGCCCAAAGCTGCGCGGAGCGAGATCGTTCTCTCCGTGAACGCAGTATATATTTATATCCATGCTAAAGATGGACCAAAAAACGAACCAAAACGTATATTTTTAATGCACATTTGTTAATAAAATTTAATAATAATAAGTTCGTTCTTCAATACCCGCGCCTTACTTCTTATCTGCCAGTATTCCCACTTAATTGTTTGTACTTTGAGCTGTTATTATTAAAAATATGTGTGTAAATTATTTTATTAGATCGGAAATTGCATTGCGTCTTACGCGAATGAATACATTTTTTTCTCGAACCTAAAATGGAAGATTCCAGCGTAATTTTCTTCGAAACTCTGATCTTCTGGCACTACTTGAAAGAATAAATTGGAATGCATCGTCAAATTCGCTACGGCGGCTAGCAACCAACAATCTCCTAACTCTCCTTGTTGAACGTCGAATCTTGAGAAACCCTCTACGAAAAGTTGAGGATTGTCCGCGATTTCCTATAAAGCACAATGCATTTATTACGTTGATCATTTTTGTATACATACACAATATATGTATTATATTTATGACACAAATGCATATAACAATGTAAGCCAAATACTATAACTTGCATATACAGGGTGTGTCGAAAGTCTGGATACACTCAAATATCTCATAAATATTGCATTTTAGAGAAAAATATTTCAGACAAAAGTTGTAAGGCTTAAAAGGACACAATCAACGGTAATAGCTCTTTGATCTTGGATGGCGTTGCCAAGGTCAGATCAAGGTCAAATTGAAATTTTTAAATGGAATTGCCTACTTTTTATTGCATATTCTTGGTTTACAAGATATTTGAGTGTATCCAGACTTTCGACACACCCTGTATATGTAAATGGTTTAGAAAATTTCTGACCATTGGTCGCTTCCATTCTATGTATCTGTCCGGTCTGCGGGAGAAGTATAGCGATGAATCGTCGGCTGGGAATTCAGGATCCTCGAACAGCCGTCCTGTCGCCAGGCATTCTCGTCTCAGCGTGTTAAAGTCTTGGATCGCTCCTCGTGGTCTAAAGCCGGAACCTTTCTCTCCTAGCTGTGGACATTGGTTCACGTTAATTTGCGATGAGATTTATCTTCGAAAATTCGCACTCTAGAAATTTAAAGGATGGCATACGTTATAACAAGATTTTCCGATGAAATTGTTTACAGTTCGTATAGCTTTATCCTCGTACAGTTTTTTATCTTGGCGAAAATTTAAAAGTTCCTTGATTACAGAACCGTCCAACTTGTTTGGCAAGCTCGCTTTCGAATTGGGAGTGAATTCGAGTTTGGTAGAATATAGAATATTGTTTTTGGCGATTATTTTGTCGTTCGTAGACTTTACGGACTTGAAACTAGATCCGACTTTCAAAACTGCAAGACCTTCTTGCATATAATTGGAGTAACGATAATTAGCATATTTATTACGTTGCAGATCCATTTCCCGATTGAATTAACGAGCATGAGTTAACGATTGTTTGTATGCATAAAAAACAAATAGAGATGCGGCAAATAATTACGTATTTAAAATAGACGTTAAAAAAAACGTGCATCCAATACCGAACGAAGAGCGATACTATTTGTTACCGCGAAGAAAGCTATACTGTTTCAACTTGGAGTTTTGATATAATTATCGTTTTTGGGAATTGTATTATGATAACTATATCTAAACCGGATGACTGAATTAACCGCAATTTAGAGACTGCAATATGATGTTTGATAAGCATATGCAAACAGCTGCACACGTTTAAGAAATAGTAAATTGATAAGTAGCAAGAAGGCACCTTTAAGCATAGTATGTACATCAATTTATAAAGTAAAGACAAAAATTATTTAAGAAATGTCTATATGTAAATGCAGGATGATTCAAAAGGTTACTGACAAATTACTGGAGCGTATAGAGGAGTTGGAATATAGCAACTTAGGAACCCATGTTCTGCGAAGTAATCCTGAGTCGGTACAAGTCTTTGAATGTAAGGAACTACATTGTGGACAACATAACAATAAGAAAAATAATCTTAATTTGCTACAAACAAAATTTAATGACTAAGCATTAAACAAAGGTTACATAAACACAATAATATTGTACAGTACTACAAAAGGTGTTCGAAGTAGCAACCACCACTTCAATGCAGACATTGCACCAACTCAAGATTACTTCGAATATGGATTCCTATTTGAAAGTTGCTAAGTTCCAACCCTTCAATACGCTGCTGAAGTTTATCAGTAATCTTCTGAATCATCCATATGCATATTTTTATCTCACACATATTATATTTTACAATTTTATTAATACAATATTTATTATATAAAACCACTTTTTTAAATATTCCTTGAAATATTAAAGTTATTTAAATACTTTATTCTGACTTAATAAAGCTACATTAACGCAATTTTTGATGATCGAATAAGAACATGACATTATATATATGTATCTAGCCGCTCACGAGCGTTGGCACAATCTTTACCGGACACCCTGTATATAGACATACATACATACATACATATATACACACATATGTACATACATACATTTTTTAGGAATATGATTTTTCGACGTTTTGGAACATTGTAAACATTGGCATAAAAATCTCAAAAAAAAGTTTTGTCACGAAAACAAAGCTTCCTCTATGAAGAAGCAAAAGAAAACAATAATAAATCGATGTTTCTGACTTGAATGACATATCTGACAAAAAAACTATCATCTTGACGAACATTTGTTTGTAACAGAAAATCGTTTAAAGATATTTTTGAACGTATGTTTAAACAATTTTCGTGATTAAAGTATAATTTTATTTTAAAATATCAATCGTGCAAAATTTTTTAAAAACGATCTCTAAATTGCTAATGTTACCGAAACAAAGTTTGCAAGTTTTTTTACTCATAAACCGGCTTTTTAGCTTTGAGTCATATAGCGTACCACTTTGATATTGAAGAGCGACGGTAGAAATCGTTTGACCTCGACTGCCGCCTTAACGAACACATCCTCCGCACCATCTCCGCCGTTGTTACCTCCGTAATAATTCATCCTTTCACGGTTACGTTCAAAGGAAATTCGATTCAATGTCGAATTATTTTAAAATCGCCGATTAACCGAGAAGACAATGCGGCACAAATACTTTGGATATCTGTCGCGTACGTTTAATAACCTAGTTTATATTCGGCGTGAATCAGAAAACGCGAGAGGAGACTTCCGTCTTTCGCTTACGCATGTATAAAACTGTTAATATGACAGATACACGAGCACGAGCACGGATACGGACACGGACATGGGCACGGCTTACCCTCACCCATAACTTTTCTTCGTCGCGTTTCGTCACGCACCACGTGAGAATAATGGTGCGGTCCCATCCATAGTACGGAACAATGAGTAAAGAATCACAGGAGAGAACATTTGGTGCTAAGCAAGCAGATGGAAGTGCCTATATATAAGTGGACGCTTAAGATGGCCGTTCAGAGACGAATTGCAGCATGACAGAGATACTGGAAGTACCTCAAAGGCCTGGCAATACACGATGATCTTACAATTAACACTTATTAATAATATTTTTTTAACCTAATATTGGCTCTTTCTCTCACTTATTTAGAATCGGTGATCGTGCGCAAAATAAGTGCAGACTGGAATAAGTAAGGCAACAAGTGACTGTACACGGCCCTGAAAAACGTCGAATAAAATGGACGCTCAAGATGGCTGCGATGACGTACTACCATAGACATAGAATCTACCCCCACCACCGATATGCTCTCTCCTGTGATTCTTTACTCATTGGAATAGACATCCTGTTAATTAAACAATACTCTGTGCGAGCGAGAAAGAACGCAAGGGGCACGAAACAGAGTATGTCCTTTTCTACGTGCACCTTTACCCCCACTCCTCACACTCGATCTAGATATACTATGTCTATGATCTAGACCAAGTGTTTGCCTTTATTTAAGGAGTGGGGGGTAAAGATGCACGTAGAAAAGGACATACTCTGTTTCGTGCCCCTTGCGTTCTCTCTCGCTCACACGTAGCATAGCGTACTCTTTCGCTATGCTACATGCGAGTGAGAGAAAACGCAAGGGGCACGGAACAGAGTATGTCCTTTTCTACGTGCACCTTGGCCCCCACTCCTCAACACTCGGTTTAGATATTTTCTACTGTCCCATGGAGCGGAACTCGCGGAAACGCAAGTTGCGCTTACCAATCAACAAGACCTTTCCTAAGATTCTTTCATTGTATCTATCGGAACAGTGTATATTATTGGCTCGCACAGACTACGCTTCCGCATTTTCCGCTGCATGGGACAGTAGAGACAATACTCAAGCGGATCAAAATCACACATACATGCATATCAGGTATATAAATATGAAACCGGAATTTTCGTATAGAAAATACACGTTTATTGTATGAAAATGATAAAAAATATTTTATTCGAAGTATTGCCCATTGCTAGCTATACATTTTTCCCATCTCTCTGACAATTTGTGGATGCCACGTCAAAAAAACTGTTGCTCCTTTGAGGCAAACCAGTCATCGAGCCATTTTCGTACATTTTCGTAAGAAGTGAAGTGCTGCTCAGCAAGTGCGTGTCCCATCGATGCAAATAAGTAGTAATCGGATGGAGCCAAGTCTGGTGAGTAAGCCGCATGCGAAAGTATTTCCCAACTAAACGCCTCAATCGTTTCCTTGACCGGTTTTGCTGTGTGTGATGGTGCATTATCATGAAGCAAAATCACTTTGTGTTGCCTTTTTTGATATTCTGGTCGTTTTTCACGCAAAGCTTGATTTAAATCGATCATTTGTTGTCGGTAGCGTTCAGTATTAACGGTTTCGCCAGGTTTTAGCAGCTCATAATAGATTTTTGGTGGTCTTCCACGTTTTTCGTTTCTCACGTCAAAATCGCCACTTTTGAATTTTTTAAACCACTCAAAGCACTGTGATTTACCAAGAGCATGCTCACCGTAAGCTTCGACAAGCATTCGATGCGATTCTGCAGCAGTTTTCTTCAAATTGTAACAGAAAATCAATGCTGTCCGCAAATCGTAGTTTCCAGGCACAAAATTCGACATGTTCAACGCTATTAAAAACTATGCTGTTGTATGAAACTTGTATTGTTGTGAGTTGAAAATCTTTATCAGATGTCAAAACAAGAAGATGGCGCCAATGACGCGGTTTGACGGTAACTACATTGACAGCTAGGGCCATCTATGGGCAAATTCCGGTTTCATATTTATATACCTGATATACTTGTCAAAATTCATGAATTCCATACATAATATACGAACTGTCAATATGAATTCTGAAAAATTGTTTATCATTATTAGCGGATTATTGAAAAAATTTAAATAAAGTTGGTGTATATTTCAAAAGCAAGAACTACGCCGCAAGATCGTAAAATTTTACTCGTATATAATTGCAAAAAAAATGAGAATAATAGAAAAAAACGAAAATATTGGGTACGACCTATTTTTAGTATAGAAAGAAGATTAAAACCAGAAGTAAGTGAGAATCTTGTTAAAGAAATGCTGGCCGAAGACAAAATACATGGATTACTTTAGAATGACACCTCAAAGAGATACGCTCAAATACGTCCGCACCCGACCACGGCCGTTTGTCGACTTCTTTTTTTTTATTAACATGCATACAAATTCACAAGTAATAACAATTAATAATTTAATAATTCCGTCAATTCTGTACAATCATTGCGGATAAAATAAAAATTTGCGGATAGAAATTGGCGGAACGAACGTAAAAAAGATTGAACCAATCACAAGCGTTCCGCCATTCCGCTATGCGCATACATTCCGTACCATGGGACCGCACCATAATGGTTAGAAGCAATGCGGCTAAATGCGCACCAGCGAAATGCATGGTTTTCAAAGCGCGATCTTTTAAGGGTCGACAGGAGTGACGGGCAAACTCCAAATAGAGTCCCTAAAGATAGAGTCTGGCCATTCGATTAGTTTTGGAAAAACATGGACGGTGTATACATGAGGTTTGTTCGTGTTGCTTGAAATTCCCAAAAAGTTCTGCACTGAAAACGAGATAAATATATAATTTGGATGTTGAAGAGAGTGAAAACGAAGATACTGAGTGCAAAAAGTTCAAGCAACGCGAACAAACCTATGAATGCGTGTAGTGCAATGTAGTTGCAATTGCGTTGTAAAAATTTTGTTTGGCTACAAAAAATTAAAAAGTTTATGTTTTTATTATATGTAGTTTATATTTTTTTCTATAGTATTATTATATTATTATTAAGTGTTCTTAGAATATTATATTGAGTATTGTTATATTATTGTTATATTCAAGTTAATTTTTCTTTATTCTTTAATTTAAAAATTTATAAACAATTTCTATTGGTTCCGCCATGTTTTTCCAAACTTCGTTTTGACCAATAAAAAGGAACATGCACCATGGCCAGACCTTAGAACATATATAAATGGAAGGGGAATGCCTTTTTTCCCGATAGAAAAACATGTCGGAAGGAAGTGAGAAAGAAAATCATAATTGCCTCTCTCTTGTGAGTAACTGCTCAAAAGTGCGCATGCACGGCTTACCGGTTTGGCCCAATGAAAAATAAGGTTACATTAGTCACGTGTGTGTGTACACAAAAGTATGTATAGTTACTCACAAGAGAGAGGCAACTACGAATTTCTTTCTCACTTCCTTCCGACACTTTTCAGCCTGCTATTTTCCCCTTCCATTTATATATGTTCTAAGGGTCAGACTCTATCTTTAGGGACTCTAACTCCGAATTGATATTAGAGACCTCGCGCGATGACAATGCGAAACTCCGGTTTCAGAGTTACTAACGTTGAAAAACAAATTTTCAGTCTCGATGTATAGATGTATGTTCGTATACGTACAAACATCATTGCATCGTTCGCGCGGACGCATCGTAGAGAGAAAGGATAGAAAAGAATCGACAATCATGCGATCCTTGATCCTCTAGCGTATCGTTTTACGGCCGAGATACAGCCTGAAAATGCTTTTTGGCCTCTCGTGCAAAAAGCAGTAATGCAGCTAGACTAACAAGCGCCCATTTTTTGTGAATTTGATATTTGTTTATGCATATATGTGCGTATATTGTATCAATAATATCTAAAAATTATATATATGATTAAAAATTGTATGATGATAAATAATAACAGTAGAATAATAGTTCACAGAATGAATTAATATACAGTATATAAAACACGGGCACTTATTAAACTTGGCAATTTATTGCTTTTTTGCTTGTTGCTTTTTTATCGATACTTTATGTATCGTCAGCACGATAGAGCGACAAGGAGAGCACGATTGTTGATTCTTGGCTGACATTATCTTTCAGCAACTGCAGATTTATAGACCGACAAGTATGCTATTTTGATTTCTTTTCGATTATATCGATGTTATCGTGTAAAAACATCTGCTGCATAAATACTGGGTAAAAGTGACGTTTAGGGGATGCAGCCCCGATGACCTTGACCTTGACATATGTTGTCAAGGTCACCCTCCTGAGTGACCTTCAGAAGGTTTTAGCCGTCGCTCGTTTTTTATCAAAAAATTATTAACTGAAATATTATTTATTGAATGTGTGGAATAAATAAATACATGAATAGACAGAGGAATTTTAAAGATAGAGAGAAATTAAATTAGAAATAGGTTTGAGTTAGGTTATTTCTTCCGGAAGTGGAGCTCCTTCGTAGGGGGGGGGGCGGAACTCACTGTTTTATGCACACACTTTTTAATACGAAGTGAGGTTCCATATGGGTTTACAACTTTCCACGCGAAGCGAGGTTCAACGCAAACCAATGTGTCTAGTTCTTTGATAGTAGAACCCCCCCGTAGGAGGGGCGGAACCTACTGTGTTCATGCATACACTTTTTAAAGCAAAGTGAGATTCTACATGGGTTGTACATGAGTTGAATCTCGCTTTGCGTGAAAAGTTGTAAACCCATGTGGAATATCACTACTCATTAAAAAGTATATGTATAAAACAGTGGGTTCCGCCCCCCTCCCCTGCGGGGAGGCTCCACTTCCGGAAGAAATAACCTAACCCAAACCTATTTCTAATTTAATTTTTCTCTATCTTTAAAATATAAGCTTGGTAATTCATGCCGACTGCCATATAAACAACATATAGTGAGTAACATACTAAGTAAGAATATCAAAAGAAATAAAAAAAAATCAGTGTTTGGGAATGTAATGAATAATGTTTGTATATAACACGTATCTACATCACCAGTCTCAGTATATCATATAGTCGTGTATCGATCAGTTGGATAATTTCAAGATTTCCTTAATTTTCAACATGCATTTGCACGAATTTATCAATTTGACATACAAT